CCCCCCCCCCCCCCCCCCCCCCCCCCCCCCCCCCGGCTTCTCAGCGATTGCGCCCTACGCACCTGCCCTGGCTGGCCAGCTGAGGTGGTTCCTTCGGCTACCCCGCCAGGCTCTCATGCCCCCAACTATGCGCTTGCTCTCCACCCTAGACTCGTCAATCGACACTCGCCTGGTGCTGGTCCCCACATAGAATCCCCGCTCTCCCCAACCTTGACAGCTCACACTGCTGCAGAGCGTCTCGCTTCGGCCTCACCCGAATCGAGCCCACTTTCGGCGGCTTCCGACAAGCGTGCAAGTACTGTGCTCCCCCGCACTGTCACGCCTGCTGTACGGAATGCACTCCGCTCGTCTGACCGCGGCTCGTCCGCAAGGTGCTCCACGCATGTCGGTCATTTGCTAGGCCTTTCTCTGCCCATTCGCCTAGACTCCCGCGACTCGCAGTACCGCTCGTCTGGCCCCACAGCGAGTTGCTCGCTCGACTCGGCCTGCCCTGCTACGCCGCTGTCGAGGCAACCACGCAAAGCGGAGGGACCGTGCGGCGGGCTCAACTGCCTCGCTCACACGCCGCTGCTCGACCCTTTCCTAGTCATCCGTGGTCCGGCCTCCTCGAGCAGCTGGCATCGTCGGAAGGCGAAGCCTATAAAGAAGGCCGACCTCGACGTCTCCCTCCTTCCCTCCTCTCCATCAGAACAAACAACGATATTGCAATCTCTCGAGTCGATCTCTCTCGCTCAAGACAACCACTTAGCCAGCTCTCACACTCTCACCACCTGACGCAGCGTTTGCCTCCTTTGCCCTCGTCGACACTCACGTCCACCAGCGCACTCCTTGCCGCCGCCGTACAATTTGACCAACGGCCGCCCCCTATTCACTACCTTTGGACCGGTTGCGAGCGTTCTAGTATCTAGTCGTTCGCTTTCGCTCCCCACCCCAAGCAAACCTCCTCGTAGCCGCTCGGGCTACGTTATCCACCACCTCCAAGCGTCTTTAGCAAGGCTACCCCCCTCCCCCCCTCCCAACCCACCCCCTCTCCATATCTCCTCCCGCCAAAATGGGCAAGAAGCAGAACAAGAACCAGGAGCAGGCCGTCGACCTCACCAACGCAGTAAGTAGTGCTCGCCACCCAGCATCCCCTCATCCCCTCAATCTCCACGGCCTTCCGTCCTCCAACAATATTTCCCCGTACTGACAATTGTACATGCTCCGGCTTTCAACTTGACAGGGCCCCAAGGACTGCGGCGTGATCTTCGACAGCTCTGATGCGGTCTTGGACGAGGCCAAGAAGATGGTCCGTCTCAACCATGTCTCCAAGCCCTGGACTCGCGAGTCCTGGGAGAAGGCTAGGCCCTTCATCCTCGAGCAGCGCCAGAAGCTCGAGACCTCTGGCTGGGCGGGCACCGACTCGGCCCGTACCGAGCTCTACGTGCTCCGCCGCAACGCTCCCCACGGCGCCTTCACCGAGGACGGCTTCATGTACATCAGGATCCCCAAGAAGTTTATCGACTTCCACCGATCCAGCCGCTCCGCGGACGAGGAGAAGACCGAGGAGAACGACGACGGCAAGCAGCGCAAGACGCTCCGCCGCCGCAAGGAGAACGCCCCGTCGTACAAGCTCGACAACGAGTTCATCTGGAAGGTGCGCGTCGACGGCGACGGCGACAACAGCGACCGAGACCCCAACGTCATCCTCGACACGCCCGAGCCATTGGAGAACATCTTCTACCTCGTGCAATGTCTGTCGCCCGGCATGGCCCGCCTCGAGTACAACCGCAAGGACGCCATGCAGCCCAACACCAAGCAGTCTGACCTCCGCGACGACCCAGAGGCCCCGGCAATGCGTCACCGCGCCGTGTTTGCCGCCAGCGAGAAGATGATGCGCACCCTCCCTCCCGTCTTCTGGATGAAGAAGAACGAGATCGAGCTCCGCAAGATCCTGGGTGCCGAGGCCTTCGAGGCTACCATGCGCGCTGCTCAGGAGCCTGCCCGCTCGCACACCCGCGACGTCAAGGGCCTCAACGAGAAGGTCTGGGAAGAGGCTCTGCCGCCCCGCGCCGAGTCGGACAAGAAGAAGAGCAGGAAGGCAAAGGCGCCGAAGGTCTCGAACGCGGTTGCGGCAAGTGCATGAGGAGCGGCTACGTGTGGCAACGGATCGCCCATCGACTTCCAGGCGCGACGGGCATTGATGATCGCTACTTTCGTTGTTGCTGCACGCAGCCGCTCCTCATGCGCTTGCCCGCATACCGCCTTTGCTTCCGAATCCTGAACCGTGGCCCGTATCTGCTCTAGCTCCGCTCCGCTCCGTTCCCGGCAACGCGCACAAAGACTACGCAAGAAAACCCATACCTACTGGCTCCGTCGAGACCGGCTCCGTTTTCCTTGTCCTTGGTCCCTTCTCGAAGACTACTGCTCTCCAGCCGTTGGCGCGTCCTGCGCTCTTCCTCTATTCTCCTCCTTGGTCGTGCATCGCGGCAATGGATGGTCCTGGCTCTGCGCCGGTCTTGCCATTCCAACCCTGCTGGCACACTTCGCCATGCCACCTCCTCCAATCTCTCTGATCGCGCAACTCGCCGATCGCAACCATCTCTACTGCAGCACCTCAACTCGTCCTGCCTCTCATCTGACTATCTATCCATGTACCACCATCGCAAACTCGCATCATCGTCTTCCGCATCCAGTCGGCTTCATCCCTCCTCGTTCACGCACCTCGTGGAGTAGATGCCTGGCCCCGTCCAACGGCTTTTTTGTAGTAGTATCCAAGCATTCCGCACACAGTATCAATGTCGAACAACGTCTTTTCTCTTGTTCAAGCTTGCGCGAGTGGTCGTGTGTGGGTCGTGCTGCGGTGAGGCGACGCAACGAGGTGCGCAGTACCGATGGCTCGAAGATTGTTCTTAGCAGTGGGCGGACAATCCGATGTTCAGTCGTAGACTTGCGGCATTGCTCGGATTCATTCTGACCTCTCTTCGTCAAAGCACCTTGAGCCTGCCTTGACGTCAACCATTCGTCGCCGTTCCCGTGGATGGCGCTAGGAGCAATCGCGCCTCGCATACAAGTGCCCGGAGCGACCTGTGCTTCCGGTGCGGCGGGACGAAGTGGCCAAACAGGCGAACGACGAGCGCTTTCCCATGCCAACACCTCACGAATTCTCTCTTTCGATCCACGACGAACACCAGACAAAGCACACGACCCTTGTCTCAACCCTGACGCCAATCACGTGAAGTTGTCGACTCCAAACGGCGATCTATACAGCGTCAGCCCAGCTCCACTCACTGATCGATTGGCACAAAGACCTGCTCGGAAGCAGCCCGCCTCATCGTTCTCGGACCGCGTATGTATTTGATCAGGCTTTTTGCGGCATCAAGAAAGCAATCGGCCATCTTTCGGTAGGACTCGTCAACTTGACTACCGAAAACTTTCTCAGAGGAACCTCCGATCGTCGTATGCAGACACCCCTGCCCAGAGCTGGACAGCAATCACGATGTCCAAGGTGAGTGAAAATTGACCATTGCATGCGAAAGAGAGCGCTTCATTTCGACTCGGATTCATCTGGCTGCTCGGAAGCCTCGTTGTCTTCGTCGGCGGCATCGGCATCTTGGTCGACCTCCTCGTCTTTGTCCTCGGACTGCGCGTCGTTTTCAGGCGTGGGTGCGCGTCGGTTGCCGATCCACTCGCGCCGCGTCTGACCCAAGGCAGCGCGCAGCTTGTACTCGTACAGCCCTTCTTGACCCCAGACGCGTTCGAGCGTCTGGTCGTCGTCCCAGCGCTCGCGCTGCTGCTGGAAGCGTTGCTTGGCCTTTTCCTCCAGCTCTCGTGCTTTCGCCGAGGTAGCCGTCGCGATCGAGTCAGCGTCCACCTCCTCAATAAGCGCCTGGTTGACCTGGACATAGTTCGGACCCCACACCTCCTCCACTAGCGGTGGGCCCGATGGGACCGCGAGGATCTTGCCGTCGGCACGGTCGATGTACCTGAAGAACGGAGCAGGCATCTCCTTGAGCGCCTTGCGCGAGATCTCTTCGCGTCCGCGGCGACGAGCTTGTTCGGCCTCGTCGTCCGAGTCCTCGGCACTGCCCGCACGCGGAAGCTTGTTGCGACTCCTGCCGACCTGCTTCTTGAGCAGCCGGTTGATCGTCTCGACCTTGTCGTCTTCGAGCTTCTTCTCCACCTGGTTCTTCCTCTTGCGCGCCGTCTCGCTTCGGCGCAGAGCAATCTCGTTCTCGGTGAGCTTCTTTTTGCGGTTCGGATCAAACATGGGCAGCTCCAGGTGTTCGGACTCGACGCCGCCCTCGCGCGCGAGCTGGCGCGCCGTCTTGCCGATGATTGCCTGCATCTCTGCAGCAGTCGCCTCGTCCGGCTCGGAAGCCGAATCAGATCCAGAGTCGTCCGGATCAGCAGTGACGGCGCGAGAGACGTCCGGCTCTTCGTCATCGAGTTCGTCCTCATCGGGGGTGCGAATCGAGTCGTCGTCCACGTCCGAGTCTTTGCCCTTGCCGCGCGGCTTCCACTTGACTTTGGTCGAGTCCATGGCGCGGCGCGAAGGTGGAGCGGCTGCTGCTGCACGCGTCGGACGGCTCGAAGGGACGGAGGAGGCTTCGGGCGCAGGGACGGATGCAGCGTTCGGCGTGCGGGTGAGCTTGACACGCAGAGACTTCTTCGCACCCGTGCTGGCAGGTGGTGTCTCGACGGCAGCAGTGCGAGTGGACGTTCGAGATGCCCTCTTGGGTGTGCCTGCTCCGCGAGACGATGATGCCGATTGTCGCCCGGACGTGCGCGACGGCCGCGCCCGGGAGGTAGAAGGCGCGTCGTAGTCCTCGTCGTCTTCGTCAAGCTCGTCGTTGTCATCCTCCACCTCGTCTTCTTCCTCCTCCTCGTCGTCATCAAGCTGGTCAGCATCATCCTCGAGGGCGTCCGCGACTTCCTCTTCATCCTCGTCGTCGTCCTCTGTTGCGCGGACGATGCGACGGCGCTTCTTGGAGGGTGTGCGCGGGGCGGAGGCCATGACCTCGTCGTCGTCCTCTTCGCGGTGGTGGTCCGAGGCAGAGTCTTCACCCGTAAGCTCGCTGCCGTCCGAGAGTGCATCGTAGTCGGCCGGCATGTTGTCTCTTGTCAGCGGAAGAGGTGCTTATTGAACTGTGGCTGTGACGAGATTGCGCGTCTGGATGAAATGAGATCCACGCTGGAAAGCCGAATGAAGTCACGGGGCGGCGGTGATCGATTGTGCTGTGCGAGCGGAAATGCAGATGTGCTCGCTGAGTGCCTTGCTCTGTCTTTTGGGCGGGGCGGGACGGTGACTGTCTCGAGTGTACGGGGCGATGGTCGATGGGAAAGGAAGAATCTCAACGGTGGAGTGATTCTGAGCCAGTCGGGACCATCGACGTGACTTCGATCGGGCAGTCCAGTCTTTGATGTAGCTGTATCGGTGATGAGCGCGGAATTGTGATTTCTCGGGGCGTGTTCTGCAGGCAAGCATGAAAGGGCCTGGACGTGCAGCACCGGCTCAGGCTGAGAGGCTCGAGTGTGACGGACGCGCGCAACCCACACACGCGCCCACCGCAGCAAAAAGTGTTGGTCTCGGGCCCAAGCGCTAACGCTCATGCTGCGCAACCCGGCGGGGCAAGGACCGATCAAGGCGTCATCTTCGCTGGCGCCAAGACGTCTTTCCGCAACTCTTCGTTCATCCCTTTCTTCAAGACACCGCTGCCTGTGCCGCTCCAACAACCTGAACGCTTCGCAGCAAAGCGTCCGGAAAGGCGGGGGCGCTCTCGATCTCGACGCCCTGCCAATCAGTCGGAATCCTAGGCGTTCTCGTTTTGCAGAATTCCACAAGCAGGATCAGTTCGGATCGCTTCGGATCCAACAAGATGTCGGCCGCTTCGTCCTCTAGCAGCCAGGATGCTGGCAACGGCGGCAACTCCGACAAGTCGAGGTAGGTTCTGTCACTGCGTTCGCCTTGCGCCGGCCTTGGGCCGATTCAGTTGTCGCATTCTAATTACCGCCCTTCTCGCAAAGTAGTGTCATTCTCAAGGTCGGCATGGTCGGCGACTCACAAATTGGCAAAACAAGTCTGATGGTTCGCTACGTCGAAGGCAGCTTCAACGAAGATTACATTCAGACGCTCGGCGTCAACTTTATGGAAAAGACCATCTCGATCCGTAATACCGAGATCACCTTCTCCATCTGGGATCTTGGCGGACAGCGCGAGTTCGTCAACATGCTTCCGCTCGTATGGTGCGTTCTGCCAGACTGCCTTCCTCCCTGAATACCCCTGCTGATTGCGTTGCACCATCTCTCAACAGCAACGACGCAGTGGCCATCCTGTTCATGTTTGACCTTACACGCAAGTCCACTCTCAACTCGATCAAAGAGTGGTACCGACAGGCGCGTGGCTTCAACAAGACCGCCATCCCCTTTCTCGTTGGTACCAAATACGACCACTACGCCACGCTTCCGCGCGAGGAGCAAGACGAGATCACAAAGCAGGCCAGGCGCTTCTCCAAAGCCATGAAGGCTCCTCTCATCTTCTGCTCCACCAGCCACGCCATCAACGTCCAAAAGATCTTCAAGGTCCTCCTCGCCAAAGCTTTCGATCTCAAGTGCACCATCCCCGAGATCAAAGGAACAGGCGAGCCTCTCCTCATCTATGTGAGTCCGGTTCAGACCTGCGCAACGGCACCGATGTGGCACTCTGTGCTGACCCTTGCATTTCTGCTCGACTGATAGCTCGACGTCTAGACTCGGCTCGACCGCCCTCACTTACTCCTTACTCCTTGTTCCGTTCAGTATACCCGCCAAGGTCACGCTCTCAGTGATTCCTCCCTTCGTTCAGCTCACGCCTAATGCTCACCAAGTTCAGCCAGCCCCTGGAACCGTCTCGGACACCATTCCCACTGGCCGTACGCGCACGCGAGGCCATTCCCAGAGGACATCAGAAGTCCAGCTGGGATACTGGAATTGCGACGGGAACGTCTCTATGTTGCGAAAGAAGTACAGATCAGGAGAAGCGGTCTCATACGCGGCGCACAAGGAGAGCAGCGCGGATGCCAGCCATGCTGACGGCGACAGGTTCGACCTTGTATGACTTGCCGCTTTCAGGCAGCGGTCCGTCCGTCTCCCACTCGAGGTCCGCGGGAAGGTTGAGTTCCTCGATGTGCACACGCACGCGCGCGGTCAGAGTTTGAATGTTGACTCGCACCTCGGACAGTGCGACGACCGCCGTCAACGGACGATTGAGGAGGCCTGCTCCAGCATCCGTGCCCAAAATGGAGCGTTGGAGCAAAAGGTGAAGCCAGAAACGCTCAGAGATGCGCATGAGCTGTTTGCCGCTCATCTCTTGCCTCTCCAGCTGCGGCAGAAGGCGTTCGATGTCGTGCTCGCCGAAGCGCGGCTTGCCATGCACCAGGTGGTGCTTGAGCTGCCAGTGCGCCAGAATGTCCGGATAGCGACGCAGCGGACTAGTCGTGCGCACGTAACCTCCGTTTGTGAGAGCATCTCGCATGTGCGGCAGTGGGGCGTACGGGCTATCTGTACCCGCCGTGATTCCGAGCGAGAAGTGCGGACCAAATCGCACCGAATAGCCACCAGAGCCGAGCGTGATTCCACGCTGGATCAGGTCGTCATACGGAACCAAGCCGTGTGCGATGAGCCCGCTGTCATCAATCGGCGATACAGGAGGAGCACCTACCGTGCTCAGATCCGGCATGTTGGTGCGCATCGCCAGCAGCTCCTCGATGACCGACCGTGTCTGCGGTGCATTTTGATACCTGTACGCCATCGCGAGCCCATGCTCAGCTCCGTATGCCGCAGCGACTCGTCCGGCAAGAATCATGAATTCGGCCACCACGAAATTCGCCATCGCTGGCACCTCGTCCTTCTTGCCCTGCTGCGAATCCAATGCCCGCGACGACAGGCTGATCTGCGGGAAGCCGGCAAAGAAATACGGCCTCTGCAATGCCGATGCCGACGCTGGCACGTCCGGCAGCGGCAGCGGCGCCACGCTTACCGACGACGTGGGCCTGTGCGGAAACAATGCCGTGCTGCGCGTGCGGTTCTCGCTCAGTCGCGTCGCCACCAGGCTCAGCAACGAGAGATCCGCCGCACGACGCGCTTCGGACGCCGCAGGCGGGGCGCCGGCAATCAACTCGCTCGCGCGCTTGTATGTGATCGCCTGGACATCGTGTACGAACGCCGGACGGACCTTGGTGTCTTGTACGAGACCGGAGGAAAGGTCGACGAGCGCACTGAAGGTCATCACGCGCTGACCCTCCGAGTGGTCCCCTGAGTCGGAGGAGGATGAGGAGCGAAGACCAACGCCGCTACGGACAAAGTCGTCGGGCAGCATCGCCCAGCGTGCTTCGGGGAAGTAGAGCGTCGAGAAACGGCGTTCCGAACGCTTGGCCAGGCTGTCACCCGGCTGCATCCACGCCGTTGGATCGGCAATGTGCACATGCACCCATGCCTGCTCTTTCTCTCTTCCCGGAACGGATTCGACTGATACGCCGTCATCGAGCTCGAACGCTGTCTCGTCGTCGATGACATACACCGGATGGTCCCTGCCAAAATCGTGTCGGATCGCTTCCACCTGCTCGTCCGTGGACACGCCGAATGTCTTCGCGATGCTCTTGCTGTCCACCACGGTTGGCTGGGCTCGTTCGGCCTCCGTCGGATCGCGCTCGGGCTCGCCGCCATCATCGCTCATCATCGCGCTGCGGAAGGTCGCATCGAGTCGAGTCGGGTTCCGCCACGGCGGCATCGCACCGATCTCGGTCAAGAACCGCGTCACAAGCGCGTGCTGCAGGTCTGGCCCTCCCGCTAGATCCGTGCCGACCGTCTCGAGGATCGCCCTGCCCAGCAGCTGCTCGCTGTCGGTCAGGAGCATTCGCGCGGCCTCGTCGAGTCCCAGCAGCTGTTTGGTGTTGGGATGCGGTAGCAGACGGAAATGTCCACCGGCGCGCTTGATGATCTCGCTGGCGATGCTGCCGTGAGTGTCGGCCTGCAGCTCGCGGCGCGAGCCCAGACTGATTTGCAAGAACTCGATGATCGCCCGGTCCTCCGCAGTCCACTCTATGTCCTTGAGTGGTTCGGGCGTATCAATGACCCTCGGAGCGCCGGACGCATCGTACTGCTGCGATTCAGACCATTGGCGGACCTTGCTTGCCTTGCGGCAAAAGGAATCGATGAAGCCTTGGCCTTCCGAGCCTGCAGGAGCGGCAATCCAGCCGGAGATCGTGGCCAGATTGGCACGCTCGGCTTCGCTGCGGCAGTTGAACAGCTGACTTTTGCGGTGCGACAGTCCGTCCGCCAGGAAATGCGATGGCTGCTCGATGAGCAACGCGTACGCTGCGTACACGGTGCTTGCCGTAAACGGCGCGGGCTCCCGGGAACCCACCTTCTTCTTGCCGTTCGGAGCTCTGGAAGCCCGCATTTCATACAGCTCCTGCATGAGTTTCGCCGCCTCGTAAGTGGTGATCGTTCCCGTGCGTAGGTCCGTCCTCTTGTTCCTGAGTTTCGCCACCTCGCGTGACTGCTGCGAAGCACCAGGCACGAGGAACAGCGACTGGAAGCTTGGAAGCAACCGCTGCAGTTCTCGCTCCTTCTGGCGCTCGAGGATGCGCATCTTGGTGCAGATTGCTGCGCGCGCCTCGAAGCGCGTTTGGTCGATCGGCTCTTCCTGCAGCGCGGCACCATCAATCGGATCGGCATCTGCACTTGTGCCAGCCGAGTGATCTTCGTAGCTGCCATCGGTGTCCACGGGCGTCTCGTGACTGTTGGTGGTGACGACGAATCTCCTGCTAGTCGGGGCTGCAGCCTGCACGAGCTCAGGCTCGATGACGTTGGGGATCTGGAACATCACATCTGTATCCCTGTACAGCACAACGGACCCCGTAGTGACGAGCACGTACAAGTCCTTGTGCCCGACCTTTTTACTCTTGTCGTCCGCATCCGTCTCTATGGGCATTTCATCTTCCGGCACGGGTAGAACGATTCCTATGGTGGCGACCTTGCGTCGAATCTCGACGAAGTCGCCTGGTCTGAGGTCTCTGCGTGGCATGACAAAGTCGCGTGCCGAGATTTTGGCGCCTGGCCTTGCACTGTCTACATCCGTCAGCGACTCGGACAGCACTGCATTCGAATGTGCACCCAGAAGATGCTCGAGGTTGCTTGGTGAAGTGGCGCGTGCCAGACTCTTCCTTGCATCGGGTGAGAGTGGCGGTCGTCCCGCATTGCGCCGCGAGCTCGGTCCCGGCGTCGGCTTCCATCCCGAAAAGCGATCGGAGATAGCCTTTTCGATCCGTGCAGCCTGTCCTCCAAGGCGAGATGCAGTGAGTAGGGTGTCTGAAACCTCGTCCTCCTTGCGCCGCTGGTTGATCTTCTTGCTTTTAGCGGCGCTACTGCTTTCGTCGCGGCTGGCGAGTAACGCAGATGCAGAATGAAACGTCCGAGATGACGGCGACGCCGCCTGTTCAAGCAGCGCACGACACGAAGCTGATCGTATGCTCATCCCAAAAGATTCGGAACTCCTTTTGGACAAAACAGGTGGTTCGAGGGTGAGGAAAGCGGTTGAGGATCCATGGCAAGTCTTCTGAAAACTTACCTGAGTCGGAAAAAATTGGGACCGCGGCTCGGGAATCGGCGATCAAATCCCCCTCCACTCGTCTGGACCTGTCCCAAAAATCTGACAGCCAGTCCGCGGCAAAGAAAATCCGAATCCTCATTGCAACTGCGCATCCCGCTGTAGCCTCTCTGGGATCATCGGGCCTCGCCTCGGATTCGCACGAGCCTCAGCAGATGCAAAAGTCTATCATTGCCATGCAAACGAGGAGCGGATTCTGCAGAGAGGCGATGCGAATAAAGACCGAACGGAAGCCGACGAAGTGCCAAAGATGCGAGAAGGAAAGATTGTGCTGAGAAAGAATGAGACACAGTGAAAACGGTGAGGGAAGCTTCAAGCGGCGTAGGCCCACCGCTGACCATGAGTGAGGTCCTTCTCTTCAAGATGGCCGATCTCGGACTCGATGCCGACGTCCTCTTCGCCGAGCTCTCCCGGAGTGAGATCGTCGAAGGGATGCCAGCTGGCTCTCTTGTCGAGCTTGAGCTTCTTCTCGCCAGTGGCATCCATGTTGGCGTACAGCTCCTGACTCTTGTCCGCGTCGAATCGACGACCGACGGCACCGACTTTGCCGAGCGTCTCAAAGAGTACAATCGCTGCGAGGCTTGCCGCGACGGTGCCAAGCAGATTGAGCGACTTCCAGTCGGACTTGAGCGGGAGCAGGCCAAACTCGATGGCGGCAAGGAATCGTACGGTGATGCGCGCCCAGCGCGGCACCAGCGTCGATCCGTACACGTCGAGATTGCGATGCATCATGCCGATGAGACCGAGGCACAACATGACGCACGAGATGGAGCCGCCAAAGTACCACACGTAGCCGCCCTTGATCTTTGTGTTGGAGATGAGCGCCGAGAGCGAGGCGGCCATGAGGATGAGCGAGGCAGTGAGAGGGTAGTGGATGTGGCCAAAGGTGATGCTGGTGAATGAGTTGCGGCGGAGCGCATGCTGATAGACACGGCTGCCGTCGGCGTCGTAGTAGATCCAGATGACCAGCACGCTGATGGTGATGCCGAGTGCCATGCGACCGAACTCGTGATTGAGACCGAAGCTGCCTGGACGAGCGACAAAGTTGCTGCTGATGATCGACTCGCCGACGATGAGGATGACAAAAAGCACATAGCGTTCGATCGAGTGCTCGTGCGATTGGGCAGGAATAAACATGTGGTTGCCCGTGCGTTTGGAGCGTTTGTGGAACAGCTTGATAGCCGCAGCCACCACATAGGCTCGAGCAAGCTCGACGCCGATGCCGGCACCCATCAGGATCAGAATCAGCAGCGGACTGTCGGTAAGCGTGATCGGAATGTAGATCGCTGCGATGACAGTCATGGCCAGCGCATTGAGCCACAGCGCCTTTCGAAACTTGGGCAGACGGAAGCCGTAGTAGATGTAGATGCCCAGTCTCCAGAGCTTGGACACGAGGAAGAAACCGATCGCGGCGTGAATAGCACGGTTGTACCCTTCAGTAAACCAGTAGCCGCCGAACGCGGGCACTGCGAGCTTCACCTCTTCCGCCCCTGCGGACTCTGCCGAGGCTGCACGGCGGAAGATGGACTCGAGCTCTTGAACGATACCGTGCGCATTCATCTGTGAAGGTGCCTCGCCCGTCGCCTCCTCGCTATGCAGCTGTGCCAGCAGCTCGGGCGTGGCCTTGATCAGCTCTACTCCCGACACGTTGGCACAATATCCTCCGAGCAAGATCATCCAGCCCAGCATGAGCAGCCTCTCGAGCATGTCGTCCGTTCCGCTGGTGTTGAGGAAGAGCCTCACGTCGGTCCATAGCGAGAAGCACGGCCAGAAGGAGAGCGCGAACTTGAGCACGTTGATCGCCGAGCTGCTTTCGGCGGTGGCGTGACCGAGGCCATTGACGACGGCGACAAAGATGAGGTCGAAGACGAGCTCAAACTGCGAAGGTTTGCGCTCGTCCCTTTCGCGGTAAAGCTTGTTGCCGTGAAGCCACTGGCGGATGATGGGCCGCTTGATGAGGTGGCGCACTGTGATAGGCACGTCTTCGCCATGCACTTCGATGTGCGGCTTATCAGACATCTTGCTCCTCTCCTTGCCGTGCACCAGATCGAACAAACTTCCGGCGCGAGAGTGGTGCGTTCCAAAACCTTTGGACCTGCGGCGCAGATGCGAGTGCGAGGCACGCGAGCCTGCGCCGATTGGCGCTTTCTCGAAGCTGGAGCGCACCGTAAATCTGCTGTCCTGCGTGTACTCGACGGCCATGGGTGCTGCATGCGTAACAAAGCCTCGCTGACTCGCGGCCGAGATGGACTGCGTCGCAGAGTGCTTTCGGGAAAGGTCCCCAAGCGGGATGGCGGTCTGCAGCTGCGGGTCCACCGGCTGTGCGTGGGCACCGATGGTGTGATGTCGGTGCTGCTCCGAAGTCTCTACATCGTGCCAGGATGTAGCCGAGGGATGCGCGGCGTGGCTCGGATCAGCGTGATGCGGGACGTCGACAGCGCTGTCGTGATATCGATGGCCGAAGGGGCCGTAGAGGTTGGGATCGATGACCTCGGGCTCGTCGTGGACTGCCGTTTCAGGAGGTGCATCGGCTTGCTGCTGCGCACGGAAGGGCCGATGAAAATTCGACATGACTGTCAGCGAAGCCACGCCTTTCGAGCTCTAGACGACTCCAAGATCAACGACGACGTGCAGGCTGTCGGAGGTTCCGCAACGTGCCAACCGGAAAGAGGTCGCAGATGGTGGCCGTTGCTCAAAGGCGTTTCTCAACGCCAGACCGAGGCAAAGGTATGCGGTGGAGCGACTATTATAAGAGAGGCAGCAGATGCAGCTGGACCCGACGGTGGGCGTGTGGGGGACTCAGCGGTGCTTGCAAATGAAAGGACACGGAGCGGCGGCTTGCATGGGCAAGACACGGCAAATGTCGCCAACGGGCGGTGTGCCGCCCGGCCGTTGGCACTCATCATCAGAGTAGCAGAAGGGCTGTGCATTGATTTTAGCGGCCGCTGCTATCTTGGGTCGGGACCCGAGCACGAAAATCCCGAGAAGCATCGCAGTGCATGCATGACAGAGAGAGCGTGCTAAGTTATCCGGAACCACACAAGCGTGATGTGTCGTGGCAGCGTCGCGGCTAACCTGCTGCATGCAACGTTCTTGGCATCAAATTCAAGCTCATCTGCCTTTTGGACCAACACACAGGGGCACTCGTGCGAGAGCACAAGGATTGCAGCCAAAGACAAGTGAGGTCCTTGAGCTCGAGTGGCTCTGGGTCCGCCGAGAGGGGGGCCGACCGAGCGCAAGCACGAGCAGCCAGGGAGAGGAGACAGTGTGGGTGACTCAATGACCGCCGTGATGCTGTGCAAGCGCGAAGCGCGAGTGATGGAGACGGCGGAGGGGAAAGGAGGCAAGTCGTGATGAGCGCAGTGAGACCAACACTTGGGGCGCGTAATTTGGTGTTGGTCTCTCGGCCGACCAGCTCAACGACGCGCAGGCCTTGTCCAACACGTGAGGCAAGCTTGGCTTGCCTCTTCAATGGCCTCCGGCGTTTTTTTGTCGAGTCTCGGTGTGACAGACGTGATGATCATGCAGTGCCGATGGGAGGTTGTCAGGAAGTTTCTGCAGGACATGCCGCCCGCTCGGATCTCCATCGACAGCTGTCTACGCCATCCGACTCCTCTAATGCCTCGCCATCCTCGGTATTCTTCGCGCATGCACCCTCGCCTGACCAAAAGTTTCTCGATCCAACAATGCATTCCCCTCGCTCGCCATTGTCGTCTCGGCATCATCCCCACCGGCATCCAACACTGAGCGCCTGTGTGGCTATTTCGAACAATGCCGATGCAGAGCCTGGCCAAACCCACCTCGCAGCCGTCGCTTCTTGCTTATGAAGCTGAAAACCGCTCGCGCCGGCAGCACCTCATCAGACCGAGCGCCCCTCGATGTCAATGTAGCCAGCCGAACACGCCCACCGCCGAGCGACCCCTGAGCCCACAATTCCCGCGCATCCTCGCACACTCGCCCCCTGCCTCCGTTTGAGCCTGCGCTTGCGATAAAAGTGTCCGGCAACAAGCTTCTGACCTTTGTGTGACGGTGTTGTTTCGTTCGGCCCTCCTTCCTTTCCACCACCACCTCCTCCTCCAACAGACTCCTCGACATCATGATGACCAACGCCTCTGTCCTCCTCGCCACCCTTCTGGCTGGTGCCGCCGTCGTCTCGGCCGCTGGTCCCACCATCAGCACCCCGGCTTCGCTCACCCAGTGCCAGCCCGTCCTGCTCACCTGGCAGGGCGCCCAGGGCAAGGGTAAGTTCAGCATACATCTCTTCCTCGCTACCATCTACTTTGTACTGACCTTTCCCATCATCCTCGTCTGGTTCCAATATCAGCCTATGTCACCATCCTCCCCGGCAAGCAGATCTCGGCTGCCCCGCTCGTCAGCTTTGCCGCCCAGGATGCCAGCACCGACAGCATCAAGTGGGTCCCCAACGTCGCCGCCGGCACCGAGGTCACCTTCGCCATCTCGGATGACACCGGTGAAAAGAACTACAGTGGCTCCGTCAGTGTCCTTGCCGGCACCGACACCTCGTGCCTCAACGACAACGCCTCTGCCGCCGCCAGCGGCTCCTCCGCCACCACCGGCTCCTCGTCCGGCTCTGGGTCCAGCTCGGGCTCTGGCTCGTCCTCGGGCTCGGGCTCCAGCAACAGTACCAGCAGCTCCCCCAACTCGAGCTCCGGCACCGCCTCGGCACCCAAGACCAACTCCACCCAGACCTCTACCTCTTCCTCCAACCAGAAGAGCGGCGCTTCCTCCTTCCGCCCCGACACCATGGCCATGGTCGGCTCTGGTCTCGCTCTTGCCGCCGCCGCCGTCGCTGTTTTTGCTTAATCGTCTCGTCGTTCACTATCATCCCCCTCGCGTGCCACGAGGCTGTTCGCTCTGCCTTCGGCCTTCATTGTTCCATCTGCATTTGCATCAAACAATCATTTCAGCATTGTCGCTTTCACCCAGATAGTCTTTGCCCTGCTGAGAGAGGTGTTGTCGCTTGAGTCGTTACGGAATTGTCGCAAGATTGGTCGCAAGTTTCAGCGTCGATCTCGATCCTTCGACGCGCGCGAAGAGGTGCTGGGCGGCAGCGGCGCGGGCTGGAAGAGCCGCTTGGTTCTGGGCGCTACTGCCACTGGGGAGGCCCCGGGCTCCTTTCGTTTCCGTCCTGTCTGTGCGATTGAGGGTGGCCTGTCCAGCAGGTTCTCGGCACGCCGGCGCTCTTCTGCCGAGCTGCCCACCGTGCGGTAGAGCGGCAACGCTAGACGGCTGCCTCCACGGCTGCTCGGCGCGAGGCGTGTGGGCGGGATTGGCCGGCGCATCGCCGCTGTCAGCGATAGCGTACCGTCCGGCCGTGTGCGAGTCGCTTGCAATGTAGACCATTCCTCGCCTTCTTCGTGGCGGCTGGACGAGGCTCGATCTGGATCTGAACCGTGGCGACAAATTGAGGTCAATGAGCAAGGACGCGCAGGAGCTGCTGGATGAGGCTGGAAGCTTACCGTGACTGTGGGTCCGCGCACGCCGGCTCGAGCCTCGAAGCGCTTTCAGAACAACTATGACACGAGAAAGCAATCTGCCGTCAGCTGAGCATGCCATCCTGACATGCAGGAACACGTAGACTTACTGTCCGCTTTGGCCTTGTCTTCTTGAATCTGCCGGGGAGTTTTGCGTTGATGAGTCCTCGCGTGTGCGTCGGGAGAGTGGGATGAGTGCATGCCATGCTGCATCTGGCTAGGCGTCTGCATAGACTGCGGGCGACACACCTCGGGCTGCCAAGGGGTCTGACCTGCCATTGGCGAAGGGCCGTACCGGTGATTGTGCAGATGAGGCTCGTAGTAGTAGCCAACAGTCTGAGGCTCCACGCAGCCGTATCCATTATGGTGGTTCGTCGGCTGCACAGGTGGCTGTTGCCATTGTACAGGCGCGTACTGGTACGCATATCCCTCTGAGGTGTGCGGACACGGATAGTGGAGCGGCACAGGATCGCAAGCTGGGTAGCCGGATGGTGTATGGTAGTATGCCGGCTCGGTCGGGGCCCAAGACAAAGTGTCGTATGTTGTGCTTCCATCAGTCATAAGCGTGTCCATGTGTGCTGACGAGCATGCAGGGGACTTTGCCGGTCCCCTCGGGACTTCGCGGTCGAGCCGGTCGTAGAACTCGTAGTTTTCCTCGAACAGCTGGTCTAGTATACTCTCGCTGCCCAGCTCTGCTTCTGAGCCATGCTCTGCACCTGAGTGTTCCGGCTCCGCTTCGTTTGCTCCAGCATGCCGTGCCCGTGAGCCGCGAGGAAGTTCCTCTTCAGGCTCGCTGTCCGAAGAAACTACGATGACCTCGATGGGCTCTTGGCGGCAGCCGAGCCGATGCGCCGGAGCTTGAACGTCACTCGCTCGTGTGAGCTCTGAGGCATGGCTATGATGCACTTCTACCGCATCAAGAGCCCGGCTCTTGCCCTTGTCATGGCTTGATATAGGCTGTGCTGTCTCATGAACAGGAAAAGCTCCCTGCCTCGCTTTTCTGAACAGCGCATTGCGAGCAGCAATGGTGCTGGCATTGTCACATTTGCCTATTGGTCAGTTCATTCAAAGTCATCCTGGGCTATACCCTACCCATCGCCGACAAAGCTCACAATGGCGTCTCGATGAAGTCGACCTTCTCCTCGTCATCGGCGACTGTAGGAGCGGAAACCTGGATTTGTTTCGTGTCAGCGTCGGCGTCGAGCATCAGATGATCTCCTCATCAGAGATGCTTCTCACCCGTCCATCCGCGGCAGTCGAAAGACCACCTTCTCCTTCCCCCTCGCTATCGGTATCCGGAAAAATATCTGCGGCAGAGTAGCCTAGCGAATGCGACCATTCCGACATGATGATACAGGAAAGTGTAGCGTCTGAAGCTTTCGAGCTCGATTCTGGCTATTGTGGTCAGACGGATTGATTAGAACGCAGCCGCATCCACCGGATCGGACCTTCTGAAGCTGTCACTGCGATGCGCCGCATGGCGTCGTTGCTCGGATCTGGCAGCATTTCACACGAAGCGTGGGTGGGCCCAGTTTGACAGGAGGGCGGATCGGCCTACCGGCTAACCTTGCGCCGCGAGTCGCAATTTCGGGGGGCAGGCGAGTGTGGAGTGCAGGCGCCTTAACCGGAGCTCCGGATTTGCCGACGTTCAAAATGCGGGCGGGCGGAACGCGCTTCGCTCTGAGGGTTTTCCCCACACAAAGGTCGCCTGAAGCTGGTAGTGACTCTGCCAAGGCCCCCGACGCTGCAACAGAGCCACATTCGTTCGGATGTGCCGACGAGCTTGATCTCTTCCTCCCTCTTCTTATCCATAACATGCTACTGAAGCCGGTCTTCGCCCTGCTCCGTACAGTTGCCAGCCCACCCCAAGCGGTATTCCCGAACCTCCTTCGCCTCCAATCTCTCAAGACCACCAGCACGCTGAGAAGTCACGTTCTCACGCCCCGTGGACAACTTTCCAGCCACCGCTTCCTGTCGTATAGTCACACTTCTCGTCTCGAAATGGCGTCTCAAAGCTCTGCTCAGGAATGGAAACCGTCCAAACCGCGCGGCCAACAGCGCCCGTCGGATCACAAGACTGGCACCAAGGGCGAGCCCATGACGCCGCTGCCCTCGGCCACGCTCATTGTTCTCTGCCCACGATCCACCCGGGAGCCCAATGGCGGGCTGCAGTACGACACGCTCATGGTGCAGAGGTCCGCTCGAGACGGCTCCAGCTTCCGCTCCGCCGTCGTCTTCCCGGGAGGCGCACTCGACCTTGTGGATGAAGCCGAGGTCGAGGCTGCGTTGCAATCGACAACGCCTGGCACGGGCGCAGACGCAGACAAGGAGAGATACATGCAGGCGCTCAAGCTCTGCGCCTTGCGTGAGACATTCGAAGAGACCGGCCTGCTACTCCTGCCGTCGGCAACACCGAGCGCCTCTGGCCTGCCCACCAGCCGTGCCGTCGGGCACCAAGAAGCAGGCATGTCGGCCGAGGAATGGTCGCATGCCCGCAACGACGTCCATCATAATGCCGTCGACTTTGCCCCTTTCCTGCGCAGAGTGTCGAGCAAGCTCGGCTTGACCGGCAAGCTCGGAGCAGGGGATGCGGCGCTCCCCGAACTCGCCCCCATGGCCCACCATTCCAACTGGATCACTCCGCGCAGCGTGGTCCGCCCCGCCAAACGCTTCGATGCTCATTTTTTCGTCACAGTGCTCGACACGCCGGATGTGTTCGGAGACGATACGTCGCTGCAGATCTCAGCCGACGGCGCAGAGACGCTGTCGCTGCGTCTGCAGACTCCGCGCGAGATCATGTACGCCGGCATCACCGACCAAATCTCGCTTTTCCCGCCACAGTTCTATGTAAGTTCAGCTGACCTTCCTTGCTCGGACCTCGAATCACATTGAGTACCAGCTGTACTGACTCTGCACTGATACTACTCGCGCAGATCCTGGCCGACCTCGAGACTGCTCTGCGAGCGGCTACACCGGACGGACGCGTGCCCATCATCCCACTCATCTTTGACCCGAGTCAGGCGACGGACCGGGTGTCTGCGGATGCCGAGTTCCGCGTGACGCCGATCGAGGAGGAGAGTCGCGGGCTCAAGGGTCGCAACTACTCGTGGGACCGCAAGGACGTGCCGTCCAGCACCGCGCCTCTTACATCGTGGGTGTCGGACACCAACCCGCCGTTGTCGAAGCTGCGCGCTCTGGGAAGCGACCCAGACTCGTCCTTCCCTGAGGTGACGGCCGTGGAGCCGCGCGCGTTTCCTAAGCTCGGCGCCATGCTCGACATCCGCAAAGAGATCGACGAGAACCGCGTGCTGGCGGAACAGAGCAGCGAGGGCATCGACACTGACGAGCGCGAGGACAGCTTTGTCTTCCCTCTCGTCCTGCCAGGCGACTGGCAGGCCTCACCCGCACAACAGCAACGCGCACGCGCCGGCCTCCTCCTCCCAGGCGGCGCGGCAGAGTCCGCCACAACCAAGGCAGACGAGCAAGCACCGCCACTGAAGGGCACGCCGCTCAACCGGCTCTACGTCTCGCCGCGCGCCCCCGAGCACGGCGGCGGCATGACGGTGCGCGGAGCGGTGCGCAGAGGCCTCGCCCACCTGCGCGACTTCCAGGTCGGCGTCCTCCTCGCCCAGCCCTCCCAGGCGGAGGAGCAGCAACGCTCAAAGCTCTGAGCGCACGCACATACACTTTCATCTTCGCACCCAAAAGAGACGGTACAGAGCGCTAGACACGATCCAATCAAAGCGTGTGCAATTCTATATTGACCTGAAGCATTCCTTGTGTGCTCCTACACCAGTCTACAGAGGCTGTGCCTCAATGCGGGTCTGAGTAGAACACGACGGCATTGGCGAGCAGCTTCTCCTCGAGCGCGGACCACGCAGCCTTGAGTTCGTCGAGCACCTGTTGGCGTTTCGAATGATCGGCCGCCTTGATCTTTGCCTCAAAGATAGCTGTGACTGGACGATGGTCGCTGATCGTGGCTTCCCAGCGCCGGTACTCGAGGCAGCGGATGCGTTCGGGGTGATGGGACTTGAACAAGATTCGATCGCACCATGCGGGGATCCTGTTCTTCTCCGATGTATCCCACTCGTACGTGCCTCGGTCGTACTTGTACGTGGGCAGGAACGAGATTGGTGCTTCTGAAAAGTCCTTGAGCCGGAATGCTGGATTCTGCTTGAGCTCCTTTCGCAGCTGATCTTGTTCCAGCAACGGCGTAATCTTCCGCGCGCCAATGGCGCTTAGCACTGTCTCTCGCGAGTGGTCGATGCGGTAGTTGAGGTCACCGGCCCAGAAACACAGCTCGTGGTCCAGAATCATGCTGCCGTCGCCTCCGCCTACGTACGCCGCTGGGTCGGCATGCGCATCCTGGAACACCGTCGGATACTCGAGGATGTCCGCCACATCCGCATTCCTCTGCTTGACGTGCTTCTGTCCAGCCGCCAAATGCGAGTTGACAAACACGATGCTCGTGTCTTGCACCACCATGCGTGCAATCACCGCACCCTTGTTACCGTACCTCCCGCCCATGCCCGTCTTGACCGTGCTGATCGCCAGCTCGCGAATGTTCTTGAACTCGGTCTGCTTGACGAACACGCACGTGAAGAGACCAACGAGCGATTCGGACTGCACGAGTAGATATCCACACGTCGGAGGCATCGCGTACCGCACGATCTGGATCAACTTGTCGTACCACGCCCGGTACTGGCGCGAAACTCGATCGCCGAGATCGTTCGCCTTCTTCTTGCCGCCCCCCAGCAACAGGCTCTTGGCAGTAAGTTTCTTACTCTCGAGATCGATGAGCTCCTGGAATCCAAAAACGATGATATCCGGCGGACGGTCTGCCGCAAGCGAGTCCGATCCGATTTGGCACGCATTGCGCAGCATCGATCCGAACACCTCCATGTTCTCAGCCGACGTCTCCAGGTCGGCAGGCGAGGCCGCGTCCATGTTGAACGTCACCTGGAGCGTCTTGATGCTGCGGTAGGTGCTGAACTCGTGTTCTCGCTTGCTCTGCTCTGCCTGGATCCAGTCGAACGACAGTGTGCCGTCCCACAGATGCACGGCAGCGTCCAGACCGCCGGACGCGACTTGCAGGCGCCCCACTTTCTGGATGCCATGCTCGTCGACCTTGATTGCGGTGATTGGCTCTTTGTGCGCGGTCCAGATCTTGATTGCTCGCCAGGGAGCAGTGTCGGTGTCGAACACCGAAATAGTGCCTGCTCGGGTTGCGACCCAGAGGTACTTGAGCACGCCAGCTAGAGCCGTGATGCCGTGCGGGCCGAGCTTGCGCACACCGACGCACTCATACGTTTGCCGAGACCAGATGGAGACGTGGCCGGAATCGTGACCGAAGTAGACGTAGTCCGGGCGTGAAGGAATCACTGCTCCGCCCGTGACGACGCCGACGCCCTCGGCCATCTCGGGAGCGATGGCGGCCGCCTTGGAGAGCGCGTTGAAGGGCTTGTCATCTGCAAACGGATTGTAGATGCGGATGCGCGGACCTTTGCTGCCAGCATAGTCCTTGGCATTTCTCTGCGCCGAGGGTCCCGCGGCGACCCAGAGCTGCTGGCCGACAATGCAGGCGTGCGAGCCCTTTTCCATGGCGATGCGCTGGGTGATGGGCTGGTTGGACAGACGCAGACCCGCAATGGCTGGGTCTGGGTCGGCGCTGGGAAGCCAAATCGAGATCTTGCCGCCTTCGTCGAGGCTGAGCATCCTGTTGCCGACTCGCTTGAGCAGCTGGATAGGATCGCTATGCACATTCTGACGCGAGTGAACCACCTGCGCCTCGGCAATATCGAGCTCCCAGATGTGGCCATCTTTTGTTCCGCACCAGAGGTACCTGCCTTCGTCGGCGGTTTCGCCGTGCGAGCGTCTGCCGATCGCCGGCACGGGCGCGATGCCGTGGTTGGGCGGACGGAATTCGAGGGCAGTCAGCTTGACCTCTTTCGAAAGATGCTCGCCAACCGTGCACAGCTTCTCGCCCACGCCGGATGCGGATTCGCCGACGCGGTAGACTTTGACCTTGTCTCCGCTGCCGGTCACGACGGTATGGCCGCAAACGGCGAAGCACTGAAATCCCTGCTTTGACGAGGTGCCGCAGTCTGGATTGAATTTGGGCGCACGACGGTTGGCGTGGGAAGTATCGGGCAGTCCGCCGGGCGTCATATCGGCGGCAGCGTTAGATCTGCGCAGCCCTGCCGTGGCCTTGAAAGAAGACGAGGGAGAGAGAGATGAGGCGAAATCCCCGTCGTCTTCCTCTTCGGAACTATCGGAGCCAGGCTGATGGCGAGCGAAGACCGAAGAGCCAAAGCTCTTGGAAGCTGCAGCTGCCGACGCGGCGCTTGCATTGCGCACTGGCGGAGGCAAAATAGGTGCGGCAACGCAGTCCGTCCCGCTTGGAGTCAGGCTTCGAGCATGCTTTGTCTGCCTGGCTGCAAGAGACGGCACGGGAATGGGCTTAGTCCTCGCACTGACAGTGTGTGCACGATGGGGGACTGAATTCGAGACCGGTGGCGCCATGTTGCGCTGAGGCGGTGGCAAGAATGCGGGGCCGGCCTGTGCAATGGCTGCTGCATCTGTGCCGGTAGGTCTGCGTGCGGGCGAGGGTAGCGTGTCGAGCTCCTCAGCTGAGAACATGTCGGTCAAGACTGGTAGAGAGCCTGTGCTCTTGGAGGCGCTCAAGCTTCTGCGACGGAACTCGGCATTGTCGATCGGGACCGACTCTCGCGCTGGCAGAGGTGGTGGAGACGCTACGGTCACTGTTGTCGCTACTGGTTTCGGCGGGACAGCAGGGAAGGAGCCGCTGTCCACGTCGAGAAGGACGGACGCAATGGAGCCAGGAAGTCCGGCCAGGCTTTCGGCGGACCCGTCTGTCTTCAAGGGCCGTGGTGGCACGGTGGGTGGCAGTTTCTTGAAGGGGTCGGACTGTGACTCTGCAGCAGGCGCGGTGGGCGAGAGCTGCTCGTTGGAGCGCGAATACTTGAGGAAGTGACCGCCGGTGGAGATGCGGCCTGGCGAGAGTGTGGCATTTGTGCCTGCAGCTTTTGGCTTGGCGGCCGAGTGACTCCCGAAGAGGTTGGCGATGGAGGTGACGCGGGAAGACGAGCCCATGTGAGCCAGACGCTCGAGGTCCGAATCGTCGAGGATCTGAACGCCGTGTGACGATGTGGACGGCTTTGGAGGCTTGGGCGGCGGCAGCCTCGGCTTGCTCGGGCCTTCCGCATCCGAAGCGGAAGCGGAGGCAGTGGCCGAGGCGGTGGTCGAGGCAGGCATGCTTGACGAAGATTCACGCGGAAGAGGGGATTTCGAGGCGCGCAACGAGCGGTCGGGTTCGCCGAACTTGCAGGCCGAAGCAGCGACTTGTTTCGCGTGTCCCGAGGGCACTCGCGTGTGGCTGACCTGCCTATCTTTGATGCCAGCCGGTCTGATTTGGTCTACGCTCGAGGTGCTCGAGCCGGCCGATACCGAGAGCGCGGCGAGGTCAGCGACGCTAATGGTGGAAGGACCTGCATGAGCGGGCTTATGCGACGCGGATGGATCATCCGAGACAGGAGATGGAGCTTTCTTTGGCTTTGGAGGACGCACGGGGCCATTGCCAGCATTCTGAGCAAGTGATAGCTTCTTTTCGGCGAGACCAAAGGTGTGGGTTGCATTGAGATCTTTGTGTCGGATGTTGTTGGACGAGGTGTGTGGTGTACACGAGGGACGACTGGACTCGGACTTGGAGAGCTGTTCGAATCTGGAACGTAGATTCGAGACGCCGACAGGCAGCGCGCCAAATTCGTCAGGCTCTTGACCTGCTTGATGGTCGGCCATTGTGGACGTTCGGAGGTGTCTATGGGAGGGTAAATGGAAGCGCCAGGATGCTCCACATCAACTCGGTTCGCCCGGTCGGATGCAGAGGCGGCATTGCACGCGCGGCCGTGGATGAGAAAGACGGGTGGTGCCAAGTGATGAAGCGGAAGAAAGGGACGTAGCCGCCCGAGCTTTGGGGAAAAGCGGCACGGGGCGCAGATGGCTAGGTGCAGGTCCATGCGTCAACACATGCGTCTCGATGCCGAGAAAAGGGTCGCGAAATGTGACTTTGGCCGGGCGGCGCAGCCGTGAGCAGGCCCGAGCTCATGGGCATGTTTCGGCCTCTCCGCGCATCGCTATGGCCTGATTCCGACGTCAGCACACTCCGGACCACCCGATCGGCCCGGTGATACACTCAATCTGCTGAAAGCTTTTGTTTAGCAGCTGGTTGGTAACGGCGTCCAGTCTCGCCTCGAGGCTGTGCGGCGCCAAATTTCCCGGAAGCTCAGCGTCGCTTGTCGGCGATTTTCCTCTCGGCCACGCGCGGAGCATCGGCTCATCCGGGCTGTCAGCGTCCCGATTCCCACCCGCCGCCGCCTCCACACACTGCGAGGTCAAGGGAGCTGCAGCGGCACATCCGAGCCGCTGATGCCTAACAACCTTGCATCGATAGCAACGCGCAGCGACGACTACCGCCATAAATAGCACGCTGGACTCTGCCCTCATCAACAGCCCGTTCATCTATTGACACCCACGCAATCATGGTGCTCGCGGCCGTGGCACAAATCAAGAGCACCGGCGTGATCGCCGACAACCTCGCGCAAGCAGTCTCGGTGATCCAGCGCGCCGCTCGCTCGGGAGCCAAAGCGATCTTCCTGCCCGAGGCGACCGACTTTATTGCGCCCACTGCTGCGGTTGCTGAGCTAACACGCTCTGCGGACAACGCTGAGTTCGTACGGGGCATCCAGACCGCCGCGCGCGACGCGAAAGTGTGGGTCTCGGTGGGCATCCACGAGCCGCCAAGTGCCGAGCAGGACGCAAGGGACAAGGTCGAGAACCGTGGACGGCTGCGCTGCTACAACACCCAGCTGCTGATCGACCAGCAAGGAGACATCCTCGACAAGTATCGCAAGCTCCATCTGTTCGACGTCGACATCAAGGGAGGCCTCAAGATCCTCGAAAGCGATTCGACGCTCAAGGGTAGCCAGCTGTTGGCGCCGAGGCAGACGGCGATTGGCAATATTGGGCTGCTGACGTGCTACGACCTGCGGTTCCCTGAGCCGTCGCTGTCGCTCAGACGCCAGGGTGCACAGGTGCTCACTTATCCGTCGGCCTTCACCGTGCGCACCGGCGCCGCACACTGGGAGACGCTGCTGAGGGCAAGAGCCATCGAGACGCAGAGCTACGTGCTGGCGGCGGCGCAGGTCGGCGCGCACGACAGGACCAAACGTGTCTCGTGGGGCCACGCCATGATCGTCGACCCATGGGGATCCGTCATCGCGCAAGCTCCGTACGTTCATCCACGCCGCGTTTCTGCTGGTTATGATTCTGACCTCCTCCTTTTATTCCTACCAGAGATATCCAGCCGTACAAGGCCACCTACTGCATGGCCGACATCGTAAGCATCATCTGCGCCACACACCATCGCATCTTGCGTCTTTGCTTGACTAACGCTTGGTGTCTCGACCCGCTTTCAACAGGACCTCGAGGCGCTCGAAAACACGCGCCAGGAGATGCCGCTGTGGCACCAGCGCCGCGACGACATCTTCCCGCAGCTGTGACCTCGCGCTTTGAATACTATCTCTGTGCGGTGTGCGATCCAGCTATGTGTGGGATTGTGATGAGACTTGCAAGTCAAGGTCCTGTCTCTGCGACAAAATCCTGACGACTTCGTGGCGTAGATCCCACTGCAAAACCCTGTTGGGCTTCAAGTCAACCTTGGCCTTGGTGAGCTCAGTCAAGCTTTGCCTCCAAACGGGCGAGTGTGGCTGAACTCGGCGTTACTGCACCGACCTAACCGCCACGAGACGCGTCCTTCCCCGACGACACCAAGACTTGCCGCTCTCGGCGTATGCTCAACTCTGCTCTGCTCTCCCTTACTCTGCGACCTAAGTCATGCGTTCTGTTTGCACAGCTTGGAGTGAGTACTGATAGGACGTAGTGGTGTTGGTGTAGGTGTGATACGGGCAGTGTCGCTCGCTGTGGGGTTGCGCGAGGCCGAGGGGGCAGCAGATCACCGCGCAAGGACCCTGTGGCAGCGGAAGCGGGGCGTGCTTCCAGCCCGACGGACTGGGACCAGCACGCCTGCCGAGGTAGCTCAGGGATTGCAAAAGCAGCGTTGCGCGCAGTAGCGTCCACCAGGCCAGGGAGCGGTCACGAGGTCGTAGCGCGAATCTCCTGGCGGCAGCGGCAGGCCGAACCATCCTGTCCGACTGGCTAGCACTACGCCCACCAAGATTGCTGTGGGGAGGGCGCTATGTACCTGCTTGCGATGCTGGGACAGTCCCGACCCGGATTCTCACCTGCCCTTTGAGCTCACTTGCACACTGCGGCAGTCAATCAGACACTCTGGCTGAACCGTGTATAATTCATTACCGATCGCCAGGATCGGTTCTACTTCTGCACACCCGCCAAGGCCTGCAGTCTATTGGCCAACTCGAGCGGATCCAGTTCGTACTGCGGCTTGGACGCGGTATCGTCGATCCTGGTAATGACGAATCCGAGCCATCCCTCGGTGGTGCCAACACTCTGGGCGCTGCTCTTGGTGTTGGACGGATTCTCGCTGTTGTAGCGCATTCTGTGGCTGCGCGCGACATCGACGACTACCGCATCGGCCACCTTGATGATGGGCATCGACGGTTCTGTGCGCTGGGCAGGCAGCTGACGTGTGGTGCGGCTGAGCGTGGTGGCCATCGAGTACTGCGCCCACAGTACGAGCGCGAGCGGCAAGGCAGCTTGGACGAGGAAGACGCAGAGGTAGGTCACTTGGTCGCCCAGCGAACCAACGAGCGACGTATGCGGATCCGCGTCAAGGCGTGTCGAAAGTAGACGCGAGGAGGTGAGCATTCCCGACGCAATGGTGGCATTGGAGGCAGCTCGGTCGAAGCGGTCGCGGTAGAAGGCGGTGCGGCTGAGGCTGCGAAGCGCGGCCATGGCGATGAGCACCTGGCAAAGCACATGGGCGCGGATGAGGCGCGAGGCGAGATCGATGAGCCAGCGTCTCTGCAGCACCAGGCCCGCGAGGCCGACGAGTGCAAAGGCGGACTGCGAAAGCATGAAGGCGGTCAAAGGCACCGAGGCTGCGTCCGGATGGATCGACGTCTCGAGAACGCAGAGTGCGACGATGCTGACGCTGAGCGCAGCTAAGCCGACAGCCACCAATGGTGCACGTATCGACTGGGGACGCGAAGCGACCTCTCGAACGCTAGACGCGGCGGAATAAGTGTTGGACACAGGGCCAGTCGGCTGCTTTTCGCGTGGAGACGAAAGCTCGGAGGGGACGGGGAGATCCGAGATGGAGAGGCTTCTGTGCTTGCGCCATGATTGGGCTCGACGGTGCGTCACGGGAGCCTCGTAGATCTGGCTCTTGAAGCTGATGGCGGGACGGCCTGCTGGAGTGTGGTGGATGTGCTGGCGGTCTTCGGAGCTGCTCTGACGCGAGAGGTTGGGCGTCAAGTCTTCGGGTGATTCAAAGACGGCTTGTTGGCGCGATGCTGCAAGCGATGAGGCGGTGCCACTTGACCTAAAAAGTCGGAGACGCTCGTGGTCGGAGGCCAGGCTTGCGTGGTGTCCGATGGGCGAGGCGCCCTCGAGGTCGTCATCGTCGTGCTGGTCGTCGAGGGCGACGCCGAGGGTGTCGACGTCAAAGATGGAGCGGAGTTCCTGAAGGCCAGCCTTGAGGTACGGGGTGGTTGTGGAGTGCAAGGTGTGGTTGAGAGCGCTGATGCTCATCCTGCGCGACATGGAGTTGGACCACCTCCTCGCCCTGCGTGTCCAGTTGGAGGCGCCGTACTCGGGAGAGAGGCCTTCCGCTGCGGTGGTAGGGAGCTCGGAAGAGGCATTGAGGGAGAGGTAGCGAGTGCCAGCAGCGAGGGCGGCACGATCGTCGCGTGCTGAGCGGAGCGAGGTGGAGCGCGAGAGGGTGGAGGTGGGGCTCGTGAGGCTGGGCGTGCTGGACATGGAGGACTGCGTTTCGTCGAATGGAGCGTCTGGATGCCAAGCCGAGTGTCTAGGAGCGGCGAGGAGCGCGTCTGGATCGTCGTTGGTGGCAGAGAAGAGGAGGGTGGAAATGCCTGATGATTCGGCGTTGCGCGACGACTGCACTAGGCGAAGCGAGGGCGATGCGGGAGCTGGAAGAGGCAAGTTGCGGGCGAAGCGGTCGGGACTTGCAGGTGGAGCGTGATCGCGGTCGGAGAAGACGCGGCGTTGGCGTGAGTAGGCGCGGAGGGTGTCTCCGCGCCGCGAAGGGCTGAGGGTGGGATCCCGAAGCTCGCCGACGGCGATGTAGGTGGATTTGGGGGCGGCGGCGGCGGCGGCGGCGGCGGCGTGGTTGAGCTGGATGGGGAGAGCGAGCTGAGCGGTCGAAGCTGTGGGTTCAGATAGAGTGTGGTGGACCGGGTGGCTGACCGTTTTGCTGCGTCGAATGGCTGGATCGTAGTGTGGGGCGCGCAACGACGATGGCCCGGCCTCGGCGTATGTATCCGCGGCCGGCACACTCATGAGGGGCGAGCAAGCGAACGACTAGATGGATATGGGGCTTTGATTTCCCAAGTCTGTCTACTGCATCCAAGATGGAGGCTATCGATTGTAGCCTGAACGTAGCGGAGGTGTCGTAGGGTTATAGCAGCATTGAATGCGTGAGCGTTTCCCGAGCTGATGGTTGTGAAGCGGTGTATGCGACCCAGAGAAGCTGAAGGGATATCGAGCGAACCACAGGGCCGTAGATGTAAAGAGAGCGTATCGTTGGTGATGGATGTTGGGTCTCTAGCTGTCCGAGGGTAGATGGAACGGACAAAGGGAGGGGTGGAGAGTTGGTGGGAGCTGGTGGGGCTGGTTGGTGGGCGTGGTTGGTGGGTTGGCTAAGTGAGCGAGTTCAGGGCCCAACGCAGAGAAGTGCACTTCTCGGCAGAGGCAGCCGGGAGTGTGCATTGGACTGGCGGCAGCTGCAGAAGCTGCATCAGCAGCAGCGGCAAAGTGGGTGCAACGCTCGGGAGCAGTGGCCCGCGGGGGAGCAGCAGCGCCGTCTGCCAGCTGAGGTCCACTGTAAGGCCAGCCTACAGTACTGCAGACAGGGTTCGGAACAAAGGGCCCTTTTCTTTTCTTTTTAGCATTTTATTTTTTGGGCCAAGCCGGCAGAGCGGAATGAGGCGAGCGTGTGTAGTCATGCCGTGGGCTCGTATTCGCGCCTGCCGAGCAGCATCATCTGATAGCAGGCGATTTTTGTGCTTACTGTACCGAGCGGCGCGGTCGAGGCTCCACCCGCCAAGCGAGAGCATGGACTCTCGCCTCGCTTGGCTCTTTGCTTTCTTTCGCCAAGCCCCACGCCGGCTCATATGCACATCGTTCCCACCTGACGACGGTACTCCGAGCTGTCTTTGTGGTTGCGGAATGCAAAGGTGGGCGATGCTACAACCACCAACGCCTTGGCCATGTCTTGGCTCCGAGCGCGTCCGACCGCATCGGATCGACAGAGAGAGCATGACAGCCAAGCTCTGCCATGTCGGAAGCAGCGAGGTCTGGAATGTGTCTCCCGAATAAATTCAACGTCCGCACGCCTCCCCTGCTTGTAAGCTGCCGTTTTGGATAAGCTGACGGCGCGTCTGCCGAAATCCAGGCAGCTGCTGCTGGTGCGGGGAGGCCGACTGTGCTCCCGTCCTCGCCTGTATTCCGCCCCGTCGGTCCGTGACTCGCTTGGCTTTCTGCAATGTGCAATGGGCGGCTGTGCGGACAAGCGTTGGGGCGACTGCCAAGCTCGGCTGATCCGGCTCACATACGAGCTACTGTAAGCAAGCAGATCTTCGTCTTTGCTAGTGACGCTACTGTAAGTGAGCTAGCAAGCGCAGAAGCTTGGCTGCGTTGGAAAACTGGTGCGGTGTCGAATCCGCTGCGGAATGATGCTCTTCTGCGCACTTTGGGTCGAATCATGCGATTTTCCTTTCCCACCTTGGCGTCTCGACTGCGCGCCTTGCCAAGCCCTTGGATGAGGATTGTGCCTGCCGTGCTGCATGCAAAGGCAGCTTCGGCCGGCACACACACACACACACACACACACAC